TATTCGCTGGCTAGACCAAAACTAAGTGAGAACGAAGATAAGAGTGTCCTTTATTCGCATTGTAATAGTTTGAAAACAGATGTTATTTGTTTCGAAGAAAATAATTGTTTTGTTAATTATGTACAAAGACGTCGAAATTTTTGCATCAACCCAATAGATTTATTTAGGGTTTGGAGTGAATAATTAGAGTGTATTAGTACATTCATTCCTTCATATATGCGAATTTCTTTTTATATGGTACATTACTCATTGTACCGTAACATGTAATAATGAATTATAATATAATTATAAATGATTATTATTTAAATTATAATTTACCATTCAAAAATAATGCAGAAGTAATAATAATCAAAAATCTCATAATCAAAAAGGTACGTGTATGCTATACTGCTAATCTACATAAGCCATACTGCTTCAGTGATAGCTAAAAGTGTTATTTAGTTTATTCACCTACATTGCGTCAGTATCTCTCTGTCCCTCTCTCTTCCTCCCCTCTCTTTATTGATTTATATAAGCACTATTTTATATCTAAACTAGTTCTGTGTATTCTTAACATTTAACTTAAGGCCAGTAAGATAAAAATATCTGTGTAGACTTTGTTGCAGACTGAGGTCATTTCTAAATTACTAATCACAACTATAGCAGAATTCATAGTAACCCTTCGCACTCGACAATTGTTCATAAAAAAATATTCAACATTCTCTGACGAGATATTTTACAAAGCTAACTGAACGTGAAATTACACGTAAATTAAAGAACGAAACCATTTTATTCCAATATTTTCCATACTGATGCATTAAAGAACGATCATTTGTTTTATATACACATTAATTTCCAAAAGTTACAACTATTATTAGGTACATCGATTTTATAACTATTTCAGTTCTGAAAGAAACGCAGAACCTAAATGCAAAACTAAAAAACTGCAATTATACAACCGGAACCGAAATTAATAACAGTTGTGACATTTCGGTTCTCCATAACTTTCAATCCGAACCAATGTGTAACAGTTTCAAACAATTACTTTCGAAACCTCTTCAATCCTTGATTTTCGCAAACTCTAGCTACAACAGTGGTAACCACCTGCAAAAGTTCCGAGGAAAGATCAACGAGTCCTGCCAGCGAGAAAATCCCGGAAGAGAATCGACGCGTCGGCATGATACAAAAGCTGAAAAAGTTAAGACACGAGTCGTCGAGTCACGGCATAGGTCCAAATATGATAAGCTTCGTGAAGAGTGGCAGCAAATTGTTGTCGAGGAACCGTGACCAGGCCGGAGGGTCAAACTTGAAATCGACGAAACTGGAGAGACCGAAGATGAACGCTCCGCAGAATCCTGCGATGCTCGGAGGAATTGTTTACAGGACTGGTGTTGGTATCGAAAGAGCGAAGTACCTTGTGCAGAGGGCAGTGGTGTTGGCTGACCACAAGCTCTCGTTTTATACCGACAAGGGCATGTCTACGGTGAAGGAGGTCATTCAACTCGATACAGTATACAGCATTCATCTCCTACAGGATGTAAAGTAAGTCTACTTTTTGCCGCGGTAGAAGAACAAGCCTAGAGACGCGTAGATACAGTTAGATCCGTATTCCTTAGTCCCCGTAGATTCCGTATTGGAGGATAGAGGTATACTGAATACTATACACTATAGACTGTACATTGTGTGTACACAGTGAATCGTGGAAGTATTCGTAGATACCTACCTCTCAGTTGTTAATTTCACAGTTATTAGTAATTGGTGCTTTTGCTAATTAAATTGTCGATAAAATTGAAACTGATTGAATAAAATTACTAATAAAAATTAAAAATTCTGATTGATGCAAACTGTTATTACATAATAATTCAGAATATAAAGGAAACAGACATTTAATGTTATTTATTATATTTATTATAATTATTTATTCATACCGCTTTTATGAAACAATATTTTAAAGATGTATCAAATTATAGCAGGAATTTATGATGTCCACGAAATTCTTCCTTTTGTTTTTCACTTACATGTTATTTAGTACTATTAATACCAATTGACTTTTGTATATTATACTGTATGTACCATTAAGTTTTATTTAAGAAATTAGGCCACAATATGGTCTCAGTACTTTACGCGAACATAAATATTTAAAACACTTCAATTTTAACAATTTGTAACTGTTTATATTGAAAATATTTTTTGATCGAAAGCCTACAAAAGAAACCTACAAACACAATTTACATGTGTCAAGAAAACGGAGATAATTTTAAAATGTCCAGATTAGTGGATGGCGAAACCGTACACTGCATAGCAATTAGCGTGGAAGGAAGACCGAGCGTCCACGTGTTCTACGCGAAGGGTATCGTCGAACGAAGAATCTGGGCCCAACGAATATTGGAGGCAATTACTCTAGTCTTTCCCACAAGATATACCGCTGATTTGACGAGGACAGGATGGGTTTACTTAAAGGTAGAAAAACAAAAACGCACGATAAACATCATTTGGCATTGAAAATTAAAAATCAAAATTACGAGTGTTAAGTATACGCCAAAATGATAATGAGCAATGAAGATAATAATATTGAAGATTAGAATGAAACAAAATCAAAATACCATAAGATCGTTGTCATATGAAAATAACAATATGACTTAAAAAATTGTGTGAAGATACTACAAAGTAAAAAATTAATTTGGATCATTAGCATTGAATTTTAATGTTAATTTTAGTTCTAATGTTAATTTTAATTAACTAACATATGTTCTAGGAAGGCGTAACGGGCACGTGGTTTCCTGCTTGGGTTCTTCTGCACCAAAGAACTCTAATTTACACGAAGTCTCTCGATCCATCTATGGCCATCCCCTTTGGAGAGCTTGATCTTCGAAAAGCGCGGTGTATCGGTAAGTTTTATAAGAAAATAATTGTTAATCGTATAAATACTAAACTGGTTTTACTTATAAATATCTTAAGAATATGCGAAGTATTAAAACAAAACGTTGAAAAGAAAATGGGACAGGTTTCATTATATATAAGCGCTTTTACACAGTTGCAAATTCTTTCGGAAATTCCAGGTCTTTGTCGAATTATTTGATAAGTATGTATGTTCTGATTATTTAATTCCGATATATCGTTTAATACCGATAATATCTAAATCTGTTATATTTTATCTATTATGTTTGCTAAGGTTTTTTTACTCGCAATCAATATAACGTGGCTTATGTGCCATGTATATTACTTATTGAAATATAAATAATATTATTGTATGAAGTATAATATTTATTAAAATATTACAATATTCCATTTTCCGTCTTGTATGAAACAAAAGAATTCTGTTATCCGTGAATATATATATATATTTCGTTTTATTCTTTTACATCGAAATGATTATGTATACTGGCATATCAAAGTTCAAGACTGCGTATTAATGACAAGCCAATCGGAATTTTAAAGTAACTTATAAAATCATGGTCCTGTTACCAAAAGATTAAATACAAATTTGCTAGAAATTACACACAACTTCAGTACTCTTTTTTACTTACAACTAGTAAAGAAAATGCATTAAGATAATTAGGTATCTCCAGCTTAATGCTGGCTTTTACTGTCTAATCTTTAATAATGTAAAGTTGCACAATCATCCGCAGTTTAATTACTTTATGTACAAGCTGATGACTCTTCTGTATAGGTCAGAATAACGAGATCAATCCCAGATAATTGTATAATTGGCACTGAAATGTTCTTATTGTTCATCGCATCTATATGTATAGGCTACACGTGACTAACAGCGTGCTTTTGAAATGACCGACAAATCCTGACCTTGTCAAATGCGTGTCGCCCAGGCAGATATCATTAAGATTCACAGCTTAAATAATCTGTCGACCTTCCGAACAAATGCGTCACAAGTTATTTTATTAATATGTCCTAGTAAATAAAACAATCAAAGTGTCTTTATTCTGAGTAGGGTAGGCAGCAATCTATAAATCACGAAATAATGCCAAGCATTCAGTTGTTAATGCTGCAATGTATTCAAGGTTGAAAAAAATATTATGATAAAGATAAAGTGTAGACAAAGAACATTTCTTAGAAATCCATAATGTTAAATATTAATTTATAATCATTTTAATTGAACATAAATTTATTTAATCATTTCATTCCATGATTTCCATGGTAAAAAATATATTTTTTGTAGTAACAGTTAATCAATTTGATATTTTCTAGAAATATAAATTTATATGACCCAGATTTACATAAATAAAACCAATAAAAATTTGTTCAGTGTAGTAACACATTCATTGCACAAAAATTTCAGTTTGAATTTATAAAACCAAAAATTTATTTAGATATACATGTATATAAAATAATACATAGTCTTCATTCAAAGATTGTTCAGTATTATGCCACTGGTTTCAAATGACTTCTGAATTATAATATTTATACTATTTAATATCTACAACTATGTATAATTTATTAACTTTTTATTTAAAATCGTACATGGCTGAGTCAAAGGATTATGAATTTGGTATAAGTTCGGTCAGGTTTCAAATAAGGTAAGAATTTGATAAAGTTTTAATAAACACCTTGCTGTGTTCGATTTCATATGCATGAAGTAAAAATTTTTTGGTATTATTGTTATTATTATAACAGTGTATTACGCTTTATACATGCCATTATTATAAACATAACATTAGTGTATTTCATTAGTGTAATTTTGATGTATTTCCTAGTCTTGATAGTTACCGATTGAATACTTTATAAAACTATTCTATGATTTATTAGTTTTTTCTTCACTTGTATCGAGTTTTCCTTTTAGTCGCCTATTATGACAAGTGGAGATTACTGTTCTTCATTAAAATATTCTTACTCGATCGTATCCGAAGTACATTATTGTTAGACACTATTGTAGTATTAGTGATAGTATTAGTAGCAGTAGTAGTAGCTGTTGTTACTTTTATCAAAATAATAAAAGATTCCTACGACATGTTTCAGTTCTACGAGAACAAGAGGGTCCAAATCCCAATGCGGGATTCATTCCGGTGGTAGTCGTGGATACAGGTGGCAGTGGTGCACTACACATTGCTGCACCGGGTACCCACGAGGGATCTGCATGGAGGCATGCTCTTTATCAAGCAGCTACCACGTGTGGCCCTGATCTAGAACAGCAGCAGCTAACCCAGGACGATGTCCCCGTGATACTCGACAAATGCATCAATTTTATATATGTTCATGGTAAATGAAAACACACTCTTTTAAATAATATCCACTGGCTGAATAAACATTATGCTGTTATAATAAATATATATTTTAAATAATATTCGGTGACTGAATAAATATTATACTATTAAAATAAATATATACTATTTGAAACAATATCCACTAACAATAAGTATTATACTATTCAAATAAGTGTACATTATTTTAAACAATATGCATCAATTGCAATGCAAATAGCTTTCATATAATGTGGTAGTTACGCTTTTTTTTATAAAGACAGTGTTAATGAAGATGACGCTGCAGAAAAGCTACTTCCGCGTCGGTTTCTGAACATGTTGTAGAAATCAGCATTTTGTATAACTTCTTCCTCTGACAAAGATTTTAAAGAATGCTATCTGATACGTCGACATTATTTTATAGGTATCATGACCGAAGGAATTTATCGTCGCAGCGGATCCAATAGCGCTGTCGTTCGACTGTTAGAGGCTTTCCGTCGAGACGCATGGGCTACGCAAATTACAAAAGACTCGTATACGGAGCACGACGTCGCCACGGTTCTCAGAAGGTTCCTCCGTGATTTACCGAATCCATTGTTTCCTGCTAAGATTCACGATCGGCTTTGTCTGAACACGGGTAAGAGAGACTCACCGTCCTTGACTGGCTACAGAGTAATTCAATCTATGTACTGACTGAGTACATAGATTGAATTATGTACTGACTTAATACTTTGACGATGAATCGATACTTTCATATACTGCTACTCGGATGTATCTATTTAAAATGGCATCGAATGCTATTTTGCTGTTATCAGTATTTAATTATCATGTCAATCTATTTACATATTACAATAAAAATAGGTTTATTTTGTGAGAAAATATTAACGATAGTTTAACCCTGGTCAGTAAAGTCGTAGCTAAAATTATAAGGCGAGAGAGAAAAAAGAAAAAGAAAAACAAAAAAATTACTCATAATGTATTTCATATTATCAAAAATATTGTTTATAATGATTTTCAGAAAATGTTAACGAGAACGAAAGAGTTACGGCGTACAGGACGTTGCTATCTTCGTTAAATCCTGTGCCAACAGCGACGTTACGAAGAATTCTGGCTCACCTTCACTGCCTTAGTCAACAGAGTTCCAGGAACCTGATGACCGTCGAAAATCTTTCCGCGATTTGGGGCCCGACGTTAATGCATGCCGGTGAGAACAGCGCCGAAGAATGGAACCGAGCAGAGACCAGAGTCATCGGTGACTTGATCAAACTCTATCCGAAACTTTATCAATTAACGGCTGCCGATCTGGCGAAAGAAGCAAAAATTTTGGAGGTGCTCGAGAAACATCACGTTTCGAACAATGGACCACGTGGAGCCCCGTCAGGTGATCTCAAGATGTGGATATACATTTTTTCGAAGGACGGCGAATGCGTCAACGTGACGGTAAGAATGAAAAATATAAATTAAAGAAAAATATAAACTAATTAGAAGAATTTCAAACTCAAAGAAAATATGTACTTTGTTATACATCATTTATATTATGTGTTATAATTTCTTGATATTTTTGTAAAACATTATCAAATTGTAAAAAGAGAACACTGAGTTCATAAATTTACAATACATCTAATTTTATTCAGAAACATTCCTCTGTATGTGAATATAATAGAAATGTAATTTTTTCCATAGATTAGACCTCAAAAGACTGCGTTCGATATATGTGTGGAGCTCGCTGAGAAAACGAATATACCGGCTCATGAGCTATGCCTAGAAGAATGCACATTGTCCGGCTCGCTGGAACGACCGCTACATCATACCGAACGTGTTCTTGAAACGGTGTCGAGGTGGGGATACTGGGACACCGAGGATCGGAAGGACAATATCCTCATACTTAAAAAAGATCAATTGTACAGAGATATACTGCCCTTGGTAAATATAATAAAACATCTACTTAAAACTAATTTAGTGTAGATACTGGAAAGTTACTTCCTCTTTGACTTCAATGATTTTTAATATTATTAATTATTTTATATTATAAAACAAAACAAAAGAAAATAGAAATACAGATTCTTAAAAAGAGAAATATATAAAATGTAATAATTAATACTATATTATATATAAATACTTATTAGCAAAAAATTCTATCTATGCAGACATGACTAATACAGCGGTCCTCGCTGAGGCGTAATAATATTTATCGTCGATGAGTGAACTGTTATTTCGGCCTCGCCATCTATAGGGTGACTCATGTAAAATCGGTTATTGTAATCAAAATGGTTCAGTTATGCATTTAGTATATTGGAATTTAAAGATACTTGCTTTTTGCAGTATAAAAAGTAGTCATGTATATACGTAAAAGTTAATACTCATAAAAAAAGTACTTTTATTTTGTTAGAAGTTTATGTGTTTAAAGCAGCTAACATCATTTTTTTATTAAATATAAAAATTCATGAATGCATTTTTGTTTGCTTACAGATAAAACCACCACTGACACCATCTGGTGAACTTAAGTTTGCTAACAACAAAATGAAGCATTTTAAAACCTACCTCTTTGAATTTACCCAAGCAAAACTTTGCTGCTATAAAGACAAAGTATGTTCTACTAAGTTATATGAATGGAAGATAGAAGATATCATTTGGTATTTAGGTCATGAACCCAAACGAAATCCACAAACTGGGTCAGTCTAATATTCATTAATTTTCATTAATTCTAAACGAATGAAAAAAATATATATGTATATATATGTATGTATTTTGATTTTAGATGGGCTATTACATTTATTACAAAAAATACTAAACCAACAAGGTAAGGATTGAATCGAATATTAAAAAATTTATATTGATAAATGATAAAACTCTAACGTACTAAAATCATAATAGAAAAAAATAAATATCCACTCATAATAACATAAATTAACATTCTATTTTAGGTGTAAAGAAACTCCGTACTTTGGATGCACAATAGCAGGAACATTAAAGGATGAACAATATAAATGGTTGGCAGCCATGATTTTTGGAGAATACCAACTAAATCTTCGACCCTCTGCGGTCAATCTTATGGATCCGTAAACAATTAATATATTTTTCTAAACTGTGTTTGTACCTTCGAAACTTATTACATTTTAGATATTTTTATAATGTATATTATTTTGTCATTGTTTCAATGCCCATGCTTGCCTTAATATGAGACCAATTTCAATATTTTTACATAATATACTGTACATATATGTTATTATTATAAATAAAAAACGTCATCGAAAAAATTTCTTCGAAGAAAAAATATAAAGATAATATTCTGGCCTATTTGACAATTTCAACATTTATTTGACAAATCTCTAGTTAATAAATACCTAATGAAGGGGTTTCGAGCTCACAGCCTACTAGACGAGACTTATCCTTTCCATAAATACATAGTTCCACCTGTTGTTTTGAACACTACTCTCCTATATTTACAACTTCTCGCGTACTACATAATTTCGAGGAGTTCCTAGAGTAGATTATAGTATGGGAACCACTGATCGAAGTTACTAGCTTTAGGAAGAAATAGTTCAACAATCCTGATGTATCTCTTGCCAACTAGTCGTAAGGGGAAGACCCTAGAAAGATCGCGAGTTCTTAGTTAGAGTCCTTGCCTTAAATCAGAAACGAAAGATTTCTGCACCGTATTCATAAAATACAATTTCCACACACATGACATCGGAAATTAGATTTCACAAAACACTAGAGTTTCGCCTCTATAACAATTCTTTATATCATAGGGAAATAACACATATTTTGACCGGCGAATACCCTCCAAGTAACAAAGATTAATGGCGAATCTATAGTTGTAATGAATGTAAATAATGAATAGTGTTATACAAAATTTGTGAAAATATAATAGAAAAATTAATTTTAGCAAGTGTTTTTAACTGAGAAAATATGGGTCGACGTTCGATAAACACCACGAAAAGTGGGAAATACATGAATCCCACGGATCAAGCACGTTAGTAAATAACATAACCAAACTGTTTATTTCTTCTTGAACAGTCATATATCATTAATTAATATATTATAGGTAAAGAAGCACGTAAAAAAGAATTAAAAAAGAACAAAAAACAAAGACAATTAGTACGAGCAGCTGTTTTAAAGGGCAAAGATCCAGCTCAAATAATAGAAGAAATGGAAAAGATAGATCAAATGGGTTGGCATAAAATTTAGTACTTTTTAAATAATTATTATTAACATTTAAATAGTTGGTCAGTTATTAATATCTGAATGATGCTATTAAAAATATAAATTCAAATTGTTTTTCACTTCTTTCAGAATACTTTAAAATTAATTAGCAAGTCTTTATGTAAATGGTCTAATAAATATACATACAAACTTTTATTAAAGAATATTGAAAAATGTAAAAATGATAAGGACAATAATGACCTTACTTTTATATTCCAAGGTATGAGATATATTCCATAGGTGAATTCCAATATAAAACAGACCAGCTATTTAAATGTTAATATTATGTAATCTTCAATTATGTTATAATATTTGTATTATTTTTAGAATACAATGTTATGCAGCCTCCACCACTTAATGAAAAAGTTTTGAAAGACAAAAGGAAGAAGTTAAAGGAGACTCTAGATCGTGTATTGAAAATGTATGTAAGTACTTCCAAAGTAACATTTATTAATTTCCTTCAAAATTATTGGTAAGATGAAATTGAAATTAAGTCATTTTGCAAACCATACACATATATATATTGATAATTTTTGTTTATAGGCCAAAGATGATCAAGAAAAATGGGCAGAGTTAAAAGAGCAACTAATTCAGTATGAACGTAGAAGAATAGATTTAGTCTCTTATTTTGAGGCTGTGCGACATGCACAACAAGTACAAGTTGATGAAATTCCATTACCTTCTGCTGGCAATGATATATCTCGAATGTACCCTGGTATAGTTAGATGTTTATAATATTATTTATAGTGTAACGTATTTGTCTTATATAATAATAATATTTTTTTTAGGTTCTTTAACATCACAAATACCTTTACCGGATATGCCACAACCACCAGCACATATGTACCCTCCTCATCCGCATTATTTACCACAACACCATCCTCTAATGAACATACCAATACCACCAAGTATTTTAAAGAAAACAAGTGCATATGCAACATCCCCTTCTATACCAATGTTAGCTCCTAACAAAGAACCTCCTGGTGTGCCACCATTCCCTCCTCCAGATTTATCTAGCGATGAAGAAGAGGTACCTGAAAAGGTTTGTTATTGAAAATTATTTGTTATAACTTATTTTATGCTCATTCTACAAATGTATATTATTATACAATAACTGTATAACTTTCACATAGGGTAAAGAACCAGTACAAAAGTCTAGAACAATCCGATTTGCAGATGATAAAGAAGATAAACAAGAATTGGAAAACAAAGAGAAAGAGATAGATAAAGAAAAAGATAAAGAGAGAGACATGTCAAAAGTAAAGCCAACTACTTTGCAACAGAAAATGTTGGCTATGGCAGGACAAGATATCGATCAGTTCATGCGTGAAATGGAAGTTGTCCATAAGAAACGGGAAACTGAACGAGCTCAAGACTTAAATGCTCGATTGTCATTACTCGAAGCAGAAAATGAATCTAATTCAAAATCAAATAACAAATCTGTTAATAATAAAACGGAAGAAGAAGATCTTGAACCTCCAGGAGCATCAGATCACTCTTCTAATCATAATCAACATACGTCTTCACATTCTCATTCTCAACATACACAACCTCATACTATGCCCCCTATGGGGATGCCACCTCATCCTTTAATGTATAGACCACCACCACCGCCATTACATTTAAGAATGCCGCCACCGCCACCACCTCGCATCGGATTGCGTTTACCTCCTGGTAAGGACATTGTTATATTTGATTGTGTAATATGAAATCTTGGATTTTTCATTATTCGCGAATTAATTGCTGAAGTAGTTAAGTGTATGTTCAAAAGCTTGCCAGTCAGGTCCTGACTTAATGCTCCCAGTGCTTCAACGCTTTCGTCCCTGCTATAACCCAGGCCCAGGCCAGATTAAAAACCTTAATAAGTGTTATTCACCCATTCATTGTTATAAATACCTTCATGGAAGTATAGAATAGGAAAATATATCATACCTATGATAACAAATAAAAATTTTTAATTATTCTTCAGGTCCACCACCAGGAATGCCAAGAATGTTAAGACCTGGTCCACCAAGTATGCCTAGAATGCCTCCTCCACAAATGCAAATGCCTAATCTATCAAATATAACAAATATTGGCAATCCCCAAATGCAGACACAATCAGGAACTGGGTCACAACCTAAGACACCCAATGTTCTTTCTGCTGCACCACAATTGATTAATAGGAAAGATAAGGATGGTAAAAGTACCACAACTATTGAAGCAAAACCACAAATTAGAAATTTAGCAGCCGATGTTACAAGATTTTTACCTACTTCTCTTCGAGTTAAGAGAGACGATAAGAAGAAACCGAGTACTTTATCTAGACTGGCGGAAAGAATACCAGAAACACAACCGTTACGAACAACTCAACCTAAGACTAAAGATGATGCATACATGCAATTTATGCAAGAAATGGAAGGATTGCTTTAAATTTGCATTACATTGTAACACAATTTTATTAAGATAGAAAATAATTAAATCTTGTAAAATATGTTATTACTATTATTGCAATATTGAAGTAATATAAATTCCTTAATTCAAAATCTTCTAATTATATGAACAATTATGTCTTTATTTATATGCACACCTATAAAAAGATATGCGATTTTTTACTTATTACAGACATTAGCATTGTACTTATCAATTAATAAGTCTTGCAATTGAAAATTAAAAATTGTTATTTTGTAAAATTGAATGTGATACTTATATAGATTATTGTTTAAAATATCTTTTTCGTAATATATTTTTACGATGTCAAAGGATGATGGTTTTCAATTATGTATTTAATTAGTAATCTTAAAGAACCCTTTCGGATAAAACCCGCAGCATATAACTTTTATCCTTAGTACGCATGATTTATTTCTTTTTTAAATAGTTATAAATTTGTACATAGTAACTAAGAAATGTTCTTTGCAAACCTTTCTAGAATGTTCTGTTGAAATAATATGAATTTCTGAAAATTAACAAATATGTTTTAAATTATTTAAATGTCAAATTGATGAAATATATAATACAATGAGTGAGGCATGCGCGTGATGACCAACATGGCAGACTTGTTACTTCCGATAACAGTAAACAACGTCATTTCCTTCTTCTCCGTAACAAAACTGTAATTCATTCCCGTTTATGTGAGTGATCCCGCTGTATAGAACTTGTATTTATCATAAAATATTTACATTTTATGTTTTAGAATTGTGTATAATATAAATAAATATTCTATATAGTTAGAATTTCACTGTTAATTTTATTGAAAGTGATTTTATCTAAGGATTAAAAGTGAATATGTATACGAGAAGCAGACAAAGTCAAGGCTATGCCAATGGTACGTGTTTTAAAATCTTTAAATATATAGTTATGTATTATATAGCAATTTTTGTGAAATTAAAATATGTCTTAGATATGTAAACGGTTAAAAAAAAATCAATATCATATATACCGGCTTTCAGAGAATGGCGGCTTCGAAAGGACATTTGTCCAGTAGTTACTATGACATGTTAATTTCACAGCTTAATTTTATATAAAATTCCCAAGATTATAGTTTACAGTATATAAATATTATAAACATTATGTTTAAAGTATTATGTACACATGCATTGTGTATTTCATTAGTTTATCAATTGATATACTGTTAATTGATTTTAATATTTCTAACAACTAATTTTAGTTTATCTACATCAAAATAAATATTTACTCTCATTTTAGTAATGTAGAGCATAATCATTTTTTAAAATTATATTTACAGCAAGGAACCAAAATAACCCAACTTTAAACTACCAAGGTCAAAATGCTGTAAGTTTCTTCACTTTCTATAGAATTTAAATCCAATAGTAATTTACATAAATTTAGAGAATTTTTGTAAAAATAATTGTGGCTTTATATAAACGTTTGCCTCAAATAGACACATGATTTTAGACAAAAAGAAATAGCCCAAATATATAGTAGTTTTAATGTTATATGATAGGAATCGGTTTCATGTAATTATACATTGTATACAGAGAAATTTAAAGGAATAGGAAATGTTTAGCCAGAAATAAACAATCTGTTTATACTTGTAAATAATAGAAGTTAGTTCTTCCTTATGAAAGGAAATCTTTCATGGAAATCAGATATAAAATTCTAACATTTTCAAACAGAAATTTTAATATATAATGTTATATTCATATGTTACATAAAATTTTATTTTTTTAATAAAATTAATGTAGCACTATTACTTCAAATATAGTATGAAATTTGTTTGACAATACAAATAAATGGTGCAATTAGTCTTTATGACAGTAGTTTTAAGGCATTTTTTAATATAATGAGTATATTCTTCTTTAGCATAAAATATACGTGTATTTAATAGATATGTATATAAACAAAGAATTTCAGTATACTAATGCAAATATTGGAAGCATTTTTTGATAATATTCTGGTACGTATACCAAACTATATGAAAGTTTCCTTCTACACTAGAATATCATTTGGTATGTATACCAGAAGTCTATTACAAAGTGTTTCATACATATAAGCATATGTATATACATTAAGATGATATTAATTGTATGTTTCTTTTGGTATACAAGTACACATTTACATAATACTTTTGAAAATATGTAAGCATTCTAGAATTAAGTTAAATATTATAATATATTCTTTCTAAATTTATGAAATAATACATTATGCTCATAGAATCAATATTGAATAATACTC